ACCTGCCCCCACCCTTGCCTCCCTTGCCCTCTCCCGCCTTCCCTTGCCCTCCCCTTTCCCCCTTTCCCCCCTCACCTCTTCCCCCTCTCCCTCCTATCTTCCCTCTCCCCCCTCCCTTCCCCCTGCCCTCCCCTTTCCCTCCCCTATACTGTTATCTCCACTAGGGAGCCAGGGAGTCCAGTATCTGACACATGGTACCACCTACACACATTGATATATTTAGGCTGACCCGCCATATAGCTTTTGTTATGGAGAATGTATTTCCAGATCTCGTTTGTTCAGCAGTGAGGAGTGCTTATCATAACTTTAAATGAGTTGATAGTGAATGAGAGTTCCGTGATGCTGCCTAGTTGACAGTTGATGGTGCTTTAGAACACACGACAGCATCCTTCTGTACATATAAATGCTGACCTGGGCAGCTGGGAGGTGAAAGCCTCGCCTGGTACCTAATGCACCTTGCATTTGATTTGTACAAGTGCGGGGCAGTTAACCTATGATTCATTAAGACTGTATCTTGTTCTACCTTAAGGTTTCTTTGTAAATCCCACTAAGATATGACTGTCAGTGACTCTCACTAAGGCCAGGCACCATCCCCTCTCCCAGCACCAGAAGTGATTCTTCTCCCACCTCTGCCCCGCCTGCTGTCTTCCTGCATGTTGAGCCAGACTCTCTGTACTCAGTTACTGGGTCAGTGACTCTGAGGGAGCCTCTCCCATCCCCCTTTTGTGGCACTTTCTCTCCTCTTCACTCCTCTGGTACTCGGACTCTCCATTCCATCGTTACATGTGTTTATTCCATTGTTCAAAAAATCACTATGGGGTCCCTTGTGTGTTGTATGCTTGTCCCAGGCCACAGCACGAGGTACTTGTCCATGCCTTCCAGGAGTGCCACTGTTGTGTGTGCCTCCTTCCATGTCTGTTAGCCCCAAAGGACAAGGGCCATGCCTTACAAAAGTGCAGTGTCAATTCATCAGCACGGGTGCTGAGTTTAGAGGTCGGCGCTGAGAATTGTAAAGGTTCTCCTTTCCGGGTTATCAGATGAGGTAACCACTTTCCTTTTTCTGAAATGTGCTACTATAAGTGACAGCACCATAGAAAGGCAAGTTGTCATCTTCCACCTTCTGGTCCTGTCCTGTGTCCCCCTATTTCTATTCTCACTGCCCCTCTAAGAACATCTTACCATCTCCTGATGTTCCCTGTCTCCTTCCTTCCTTGGGGGCTGCAGAAACAAGAGTAAGAAAAAAATCTATCTGATTCTCTTTTTGTCCCTGTCTCGTCTCAGTACATATCTGAAATGTCGCTGTCTCCCTCTGCGTGTGTCTCTGTCAATGTGTTGGGAGACTGTCAGGGAGACTCTGGCTCCACACTCGACAGGAGTACCCTGCTCTGTGTGTGTGTGTGATGTCTCAACACTTTCAGCCTGTATATGATCTTAAATCTTAAGCATTTTTGTGGCAGGAAAAGTGTGTGTTCTCTTAGATAAAACCCAGTGTTTGAGCACCTGCTGAATTGTGTGCGTATAAGCAACTAAGAAAACAGAATTTTCACACCTGTGTAATCTGCATTCCAGGTGGATACCTGGTTGCCAATGCCATAGAACCATGCAAAGTAGAAGTTTGGGGAAAGGCAGTGTGGCATGGACTGGTATGAGGATGTGAACGGTCATAAGATGGGTTACAGTAAAATTGCTTACATGAAAATTCCTATTTTCCCTTACCCTTTCACTATTAAAAAAAAATCAGCAAGGGGGAGAGTTTGGGATAAACAGCAGGGAGAACATTCTAGCAATATATCTTGGCATAAACTTTCTCCCTTTTTTGAAGATACCTTGTGTGTGATCTCCGTCTCCCTTGAGAAGCAGTAACATTGGCTTTTGTGGTCTGAATTTTTGTTTCTTACTAAGATTAGAGGCTTTCTGAGGGGTAGAAAAGTCCTCCACAGACACAAAGTAATAAAAACATTTGCTGAGTTTTTGTCATTGCGATAGAAAGAAAATGAGGAACTGTCCTTGAGGAGAAGGTGTTGAAAATCTCCATGAGCCATGTAGTGATGGGTTTTGCTCAGATTTTTCCTGATCAGATTCAGGGAGCAGCCCTGCCCTGTGCTTGGAAGATGGGTGGTTTCCTGTTTTTTCCCGGTCACAGATTCCTCCTACCCCAGCACTCTTCAACAAAAGCTTTTAGAGCCCATTGTCTGTTCAGACCCATCACTGCGTAACTCAGTAATGGAGAGAAAACTCAAACACATATGTAAGATGATAGTTGCAAAAGAGACCTTGTTGGATTAGCTGACAAGCTCAGTTGCAGGGAGAGTCAGAACCCGGCTCTGTCTAGTGCTCCCTGGGCCCAAGAAGCCCATCCACAGGGCAGGCGGGGATGTGCCATTTGGAGCGCCTGGAGATCCAGCAAGCAGACAGTCTTCTCACAGGTTCTCACGCCCTGGGAGGGGAGAGGGCAAACATGAAGAAAATAATAGGAACCTTGCTGTGGTGGGAGGTGAGCAGGAGACCGGAGGAGGGCAGCACCCTGGCTAGAGTGGGCATGGGGAGGAAGAAGGGGTGAGGATGGCGGCTTCCGGACGGCGCTTGAACCGAGCCTTCAGGAAAGGGAAGGGCTTCGGCTGGGCAGGGGAAGGCTGCAGGGGGCTCGAAAGAAGTCAGTTCAGCAGGGTTTTGTAGAAATGGGGGAGGCTCATTTGGGGACTCTCCCAGCATGTCAGACACAGGGTCTCCCAGTCATTCGCTGTTGTCTCCAGCTGCTTTCTCACCACGACAGAGTTGAGTAGTTGCAGCAGAGACTGTGTGGCCCAGGTATTTCCTGTGGGTCTTTACAGAAAAAGTTTACTGAGCCTGGGTACATTTTTATCCTTGAAACTGTGTTGACCAGAAACTGTGGTATCAGCAGAGGGGCTTTGCTTACAGCCCTCCCTCTGCTTGGCAAGGCCCCTTCACTCCAACTCAGTAGCCTAAAGTGTCAAGAACTTCTGGCTTCAAATATTCTGGGAATAGAATAGTGTCTATGGTGTGAGAGGGGCATCAGCCCCAGTGTCCGCTAAAGTGTCTGGTTACCCTGAGCCTAGCCTGTCGTGGGCTGGGCCTAATTTCGCTGAAACTCTGGGCTTATTTGTTCGGTGAGTGCTTCTAGGCAGTACCAGAACTGAAACCAGTGACAGGAGTAATCGTCACCAGATAGGCCTCTGTCTTCCTTGGAGGGACAGTGCATTTGGTGAGGCAAGCAGGAGGAGGGGAACTGTAGAAAGAACTGCCACCTCAACCCTGCATCTGTTTTAAAAACACTGAGAATGTGTTTCCAGAAGCTGATATGCATTTGAAATGCTGCTTTCCCAGATAGAGTGAACGGAGGTTGCATAGACTCCCATAGCAAGCACCAGCTTCTGAGCACCTGCTGTGGTCTGTGGCACCTGCCACTGGGAGTGCAGGACGAGCCTCTTGGTGAACACTAATGTGTTCAGTAAGAGCTGCGTGAAAGAGGCGCAGCCATCCCCACTTTACAGATCATGAAACAGGCTCCAACAAGCTGAGTAACCTTGATATTAACTACTAGATGACACTGCTTCCAATCCATGAGAAGGAAGATAGTGATTTTTATGCTCTAGTCATTCTTAGCAAGGAGGAGGCGCATTAAAAACACTGAATTAAGAAGTCACAAGTTTCTGTTGCAGTCTATCAGAGGAACTGATTACCAAAGGGCAGGTAAAAGTCTAACTTCTATTTAAAATACCTGTGTCAGATAACATTGCAGTTTGGGATCTAATTTCTGATTAGTGCTTTATATAGAAAAGTGTCAGCCGTGAAGAATGGTGAAATTTTTCACATTTCTGGAGAACATAGGACTGAAAAGAGAAGCATATAGGTTTAGGGTTGCCCTATTTCCAACTAAAGTGATTGGTCCAAATCTTATCATAACCAGCCCCTCCCTAAAACTTTGCATGGTTCCACCTTGTCTTCAGGATAAAAGTCAAAGTTCTTATTGTGGTGGGGAGGCCTTTGCTGTTCGGGCCCTGCCTGCATCTCCTGTCAGACCTCCCAGTGCCTCATTCTACTTTATTCCAGCCAAATGTCTTTAATGCAGCCAAAGTCTGTCCCTGCATTTGGGAGCACCTCTGTCCCTTGAACACCATCTTTAGATGATGCCCTCTGTCCAGCTTGTACTCTACCTTCATATCTGGACTAAGATGTCAATGCACCCCTTTTGACCCTTAAAGGAGGCTAGGTTGAGTGTCTTTCCCTGGCCTGCCCCCAAGATCGCATCCATTATGTTGTTGTTCATTGTTCATCCACCATTAGATCATAAGCTTCTTAAGGCATCTGTTTTAGTTTTGACTGCACAAGTTCCTTTGAAGTTACAAGGAATAGGAATCTACTTTAGCTAATGTAAAGGGAGTTTTTTGGGAGGGGATATTTAAAGAGTAAAGAGACCTTTGTGGAGATCTAAGAACTGGGTCTCTAAGAAGCTGTGCCTCATGGAACTGGAGCCAGATAGCGCAGCTGTGTCTGTAGCTTCCTGCTCCTCTGCACACCAGCTCTGTGGGGCTGTTTCTCCCTGCTGGCTTCCTCCATTTACTCACAAGTCCTCCTGAAGTCTGCTCATGACCTCAGCTTGCCTGCACAGCCTAGATGGGCCCGCCAGCCCTGGTGGGCACTTCCAATCTCAGGGTTTCATTTCCTGCTCCCTGCTTGTTTGGTTTCTCAGTTTCTCAATTACAAATTTCCAAGCAATTAGTGAGCCTAGTTCACCATTTTGAGCCAGGCCTGTGTGTCATGGGTCCCTGGCCAGCCCATAGGTGGGCAGCCCTTGGGATCAGGTCCTCACTACAGACCAATGAGAGATATTTGGAGGTAGGCATTCCATGAGTCAGAACAGGGCTGCCAGCGGAGACTTCCCTGTTTTGGTTTTTCTCTCTGCCTCTCTTCTTACAAGGATGTTAGGCTGGTGCTTCACAGACTTGATGGTATCCTTTGTTGTTCTTTGTCTTTTACAGATATCATTAACGGAGCTCAAGAAAAATGTGTATTGCCTCCTATGGATGGCTACCCCCACTGCGAGGGGAAGATCAAGGTAAGGCAGAGGGCGCAGGCTCATGTTCATCTTCCTCCATCCTCACTAGCACCTCCTCTTTCCCTCCCCCCCCCCGTTTCCTCCCCAGTGATACCAGTGACTTGCTCTTGAAGCCAGGCATTTAAGGCTCCATCCTGCCAGAGTTGGGCGGTGGCCATGACAACCCAGCCCTGTTTGTGCCAACTTCCTGGGGTTGGGCAACAATGGCTCTCATTCTCAGCCGAAAAGAGCCCAGGCCCTTTCAGGCACCTGCTGTGCCTTTGAAGTCGCCTTCCCTCTTTTTTTCTCAGCTTCTAGTGGGACCAGTGTCAAGGGGCTGCCACTATTTAGTGTCCAACTCCCTTCTTTCTCAGTGCCCTACTCTTAGATCTCGAGATTGTGGTTTAAATGTCCTGTTTCGGTTGTGGTCAAACCCAAAGACATTTGATGGGCTTTCACTCTTTTTCAAAGATCCTAGTTGCATTGTCTGCCCTGGGGGAGACCACTTCCTGCTTGGTAGTTTTCAGAGGAACGGGTCACCTAGGTGTGTACCTGGGACAGTGAGACCAACCTCAGGAGCATGTATGTATTAGGGTCATCTGTAAATGCTCCTTCATGCCCTGGTTCCCACACCACCGTGCCGTGGGCTGTTGGAACTGCGGTCCCAGGAGGGGATGTGTACAGAGTCCCATTAGGCACTTGCTCTTCATAGGACTCTTCTGGGCTTCATCGCCTGAAGTATCTTCCAGCCTTGTGCCATTCTGAAAACCTCCAGGAAGGCCTGGCACAAGCCGTTGTCCACTTATGGGTCATCCAGGGGCTGAGCCAAGCCTCTGGTCACCTGGACTTCAGCTTAGTGGCTCCTTCACTCAGTTTCCTTAGTCCCAGCGTGAGCCGTTCACCCCATTTGCACTGTTCTCTGTGAGGGAATGTGCAGCGGCCCTGAGAACAGCTGCACAGATGTTCTGATCTGATTCTTGTTTCAGTGGATGAAAGACATGTGGCGTTCAGATCCCTGCTACGCAGACTACGGAGTGGATGGGTCCACCTGCTCCTTTTTTATTTACCTCAGTGAGGTAAGTAGCTTCTTGTGGCTCCTGGAAATAAAGGCGACTGGTTGGACTATTTTGTATCTGAGCCTGGAATTTGAAAAGATTAAAACCGTGTGTTCCTAGGTGAAGGACCTATGGTTCCCTTCATTACTTCCCCACCTCCTCAAGAAAGATGTTTTTATCCCCTTAAGGGAAAAAGAGACTGAGTTAGCTATTTACTTTTTCCCCAATTTATTTTATTGTAGTAAAATATACATAATGTGTGATGGAGTCATTTAAGGCTCCATCCTGAAACGGTCTTAACCATTTCAAATGTGTAGTTCAGTGGCATTGTGTACACCTACACTATACAGCCATCTCCAGAAGGTTCCAGAGTGCTTTCATTTTGCAGAACTAAAACTCTATACTCATTAAATACTCCCCATTCCCCTCCCTCTTATCTACAGGCAAGCACTATCCTACTTTCTGTCTCTATGGGTTTGACTGCTCTAGTAACTCACATGAGTGGAATCACAGAATATTTGTGCTCTTGCAACTGGCTAATTTCACTTAGCATAGTGTCTTTAAGGCATATCCACCTTGTAGCATGGTTCAGAACATCCTTTTGAAAGCTGCATACTCCATTGTTTATAAAAACCACATTTGGTCTGTCCATTCACCCATCAGTAGACATACGGGCTGCTCCCAGCTTTTGGCTGTGAACAGCACAGCTACGAACATGGGTGTCCAAACATAGTGTCTTTAAGGCATATCCACCTTGTAGCATGGTTCAGAACATCCTTTTGAAAGCTGCATACTCCATTGTTTATAAAAACCACATTTGGTCTGTCCATTCACCCATCAGTAGACATACGGGCTGCTCCCAGCTTTTGGCTGTGAATAGCACGGCTACGAACATGGGTGTCCAGACATCTCTTCAGGACCCTTCATTCAGTTCTTCAAGGAATTTACCCAGAAGTGGAATTTCTGGATTATATAGTAGTTGTATTTTTAACTTTTTGAGGAACTACCACACTGTTTTTCAGGGTGGCTGTGCCTTTTTACATTCCCACCAACAGAACCCAAGTGTTCTGATGTCTCCACATTCTTGCCAACACTTGTTATTTTCTGGTTTTTTGATAGTAATGGGCGTGAGGTGGCATCTCATTGTGGTTTAGGATTGTGCTTCCTTAATGATAGTAATATCATCTCATGGGCTTGTTGGCTGAGTTAGCTTTTTACATAGGGACTGAGTTAGTTACTTTTACATTTTTTTTTCTTATCTGAGCTTCATTTTTGTTTGTACCCTTGAATTTGTACCCTTGAGTTTAGATGGCAGCTTTTTCCCCCCATAAAGGTTGCAGAGCATTTTGTAGACAACATGGAATTTGTCCCAGGCTTGGATGATCTCCATTGTAACTTCAGGAAAATCCAAGAGTAGGGCAGAGTTAAGACTTTGCTTCAGGCATGCCAGAGGGGAAGCACCTGCCAAGGCATCACATCCTGCTGGCTTCCCCTCTCTGCTCTGTGGAGGGCGGACGTTGGGTCTTGTGCAACAGATGCTGGCTGATTCAGAGGGTGAGGCTTGACAGATCTCCCATTGCCTAATTTTTAAATTCTGTCCCCCGTTTTTGTTTGCGGCTGGTGTGTCGTTTGAGTGATAATTACAGTCCCTGGGTGATGCCATGCAGGAAAGGGAATGCCTCCACTTATTAGGCCTTAGGTGCTTTTCTCTATGGGATATAGATCCTTTTCTTTATTGTGCCAGAAGGTGACAAGGGACAGCTCTTTTAGGGATGGAGGCCAAACCAGCATTGTTGTAGGGTGTATGACCCTGAATTCCGTGGGGCTTGCCCCTCTCCTAGACCATCAGCTCTCCGTCTTTGGTACATTCAGGTCAGATTTTATTGTTTTTGATGCAGTTGTTCCATGGTCCACCTATGGCTGTCATGGTGAGAACCCCAAAGTTAATGATAAAATTCCTCTTGGAAATAAAAGCACTGAGAGTTGGGCATGTGGTGCTCCTCAGTAACAAACTGCTGGCAAACTGATTTGGTAGCATTTCTTTGACTGGCTGTCTGGATTCTGGCTTGTGTGACCTGTGGCCTCCCTTCCCATTTCCTTCTCCAGAGGAAAAGGCCTGGGGCCGTGGGGAACCTTCACTCTAAGGAGAAGTCAATTAAAAATACCTTTCCTGCCTCGAGGAAAAGGTTCTTCATTCCATTTAATTTTCAGAAGTTTTCTTCCCCTTTCCACTTGATGGAATTTAGCCAGAGTCCAGCTGTGCTCTGTGATTGACAAGCTGGGCTAATTTCCCGCCTTCCTTAGACTTTGTGTGTTGGGGTGTGCAGTGGAGGGAAAGGATTTTACACGGCTGTCCTCACTGCCGCTACCTCCTGCGAGAGTGGCCCAGACAGAAAGCACTGCAATTATTTCTGACCTCTCCCCTTCCTTTGACTGTGCCCCACTCCCAGTAAAGGAAGGACGTGGCAAGAGTCAAAGAAAAATGAAATTCTGGGGGAGGCCAGTTGCGAGGAGTGTGGGGCAGACCCCACACTTCCACTTATGAGAGGCCAAGTGCTTCCTCTCAGAATCTGTAGCTATTTTTCTCTTCCTGAGGTATACAGTGGTGCTTCATTAGTCCATTGCACTCTCTCTCTCTGCTGTTAATTAGGTGGTTTTGTTGTTTAGCTAAATTCAGTTCAGTGAGCAATTACTGAACCTCTGTTGTCCACAGGTTCATTGTCAGCAGTTAATCAACTCTCTTCCCGGTACCATGCTTGGCATCCATCATCTTAAAGAGGCGAATGAAAGAGAAGGAAGAAAAGATGCAGGAACCTCTTTTCCAAGGCTTTAGTCTGAAAATAACCCTGATCCTTGGGGCTTTTAGAAAAATTCCCATGTCCTCATAGGGTGGTTAATAGGTGCCCAAGAGAGTTTGAGGACAGTCTCACCGATTAGGTCACTTCTGTAGGATTACTGCCCTTTGAGCCCCCTACTTCAGCTACTGTTTCTGCTGCTTTCTAAGCACCATGATTTTATTAGAAAAACGTTCCTTCTTGGTGCTGTGGGTTCCTCCTTCATAAAATAATAATTTTAGTACTGGCAATGCCCCTCCTATGAGGATGTTGTAAGGATACCCGAGATTACGGGGGTATGTACTTAGAACTTGGCAGAGAGAAGACACTCAGGAAACGTAACTGATATGTTATGGTTTTTTAATGTTGTCATTACTGAGCATAGCTGTGGGGTGTCATTAGACTCAGACGTTATATGTAGGACGTTGGTTCCATCCTAGAGTTAGAGTCAAGTTCTGGTTCTCATTTGCCAGTCTAATTTTATATTCTCTGACTGCTGGGAACATAAAAATTTTGTTCTTTCCCTTCACTTTTCTTTAATTGACAAAAATTGTGTATATTTGTGGTTTCCAACTTGATGTTTGACCTAGGTCTACTTGACTAAATCAAGTTAATTAACACATGCGTTGCTTCATCTGTATGTGTATTTGTGGTGAGGACACTTCCCCTTGACTTTTTTCTGGGTATGAGACTTGTTTGCATTGTAATTGGGAGCTGGATGTGTGGAGCTAGTGCACCCCTACTGTTGTTAATGCAAAGTTAGTGGTAGGGTTTTCTAATCCAATAAATTCCTCTCTAGTATCTTCAACACAGAAACTACCATGTGAGTTGTATTTAATTTATGCTAGTGTTTTGTTCAAATTGTGGCAATAACTTTAAATGCCCACCAACCCAGGAATGGATTAACAAGCTGTGGTATATGTACACCATGGAATACTATTCAGCCATTAAAAAAGATGGAGACTTTACATCAGTCATATTAACTGGGATGGAGGTGGAACACATTCTTCTTAGTAAAGATCACAAGAATGGAGAAGCAAGAATCCAACGTGCTCATCTAATAGATGAGCTAATACGAGGTTGGGGGTAGGGCAATGAGAGAACTGGGAGAGGAGAGGACTGAGGGATATAGGGGTCATGGTGTATGGTACATCTCTTGGGGGTAGGACACAATTATAAGAGACTTTAACAAATACAATCAGTGTAACCTAATTCTCTGTTCCCTCAAAGAATTCTAAACAATAAAAACTTTTACAAACTGAAAAAATAATAAGACAAAAAAACTGATGCTAGTTTTTAGCCTGGAGCCTTGTGCATGTATAATTCACACGTTCCTTGACCAATGTTGACTTAATAAAACATCATAGTCCGGGTGGGTGGGGGGATGTTTTCTAGTGTGGCAGTCAGCATGTTAAAATCCTGGACAGTATCTGTGGCTTTGCAGGAGCTGTGTTAGTCCAGTTGTGTGGCTCTCTCGCTCTTGCTGTCTTGAAACTTACTCTGTTACTTCATTAGACTCTGAAACCTGTTTATTTCTTGTATGTCAGGTTTCTCTTGCAGTTGAGAGAATGGTTGAGAGGGACATCTTCACTGGACTTGTTAACTTGATCAACACTTGGCACCAGTGACTTTTATCTTATTCTTATCCTTATTAGAACAGCTAATTCTTGTTTTGGTCTATGTTCAACATTAGAACTTTGGCAGATACCAAAGGACATGAAGTAGAATGTCTCTTGCAGAGTCGGTCACCGGATGAACTGAAGCATTTAGATTCAGACCCATCCTAGGGGAGGTACTCTTCCCTTTTCTTTCCCATGGCCATCTCAGTACACAAACTTCCCCCGCCTTCTAGGATTACAAACTTCTACTTTTACACTCAATGACTTGTAGTCTACAAATCTTCTCTAGTTGAATTCAAGGAAGGAAATCCATCAATATTCCCCTTGTGGTCTCTCCACGGTTACTTGTGTGACACTGTGCTGGAGACTGCAGAGGTAAAAGCTGAGTGCTTGCCCTTGTTTAATGGTGGAGCTTTGGGTGCCCGACTGTAAGGAGGAAACAGCACTGGGCCTCCGTGGTGCGCTGGATGCCTCCAATACAGCCCTGCACTATCTTATGTAAGGGACTTGAGCATCCGAGGATTTAGATATCCATGGGAGTCCCGGAACCCATGCCCTGTGTATATGG